GCTCCTTGTTCATCCATGGGGGCCTCCTGGTCTTTTTGCTTGACTTCCTCTTTGCTGGAATGCATTGCTCCTGAGCTTGGAGGAGGTGGCCCTTGAATATTAGCCAGCTGTCTTGGGCCCCTCTTCCTTCCAGGGCTTTGTCCCATGGTATTCTACCAAGCAGACCCCTGAAGAGGCCAAAGTCTGCTCTCCTGAAGTCCAGGGTAGCGAGCTTGCTAATGATATGAAATGTGAAATTATATGAGTGTCGTAGTGGCAGCTTGAGGCCACGCAAAACCCTGGCGCTCATGACTAAAACTTGAGAAGATCCTCTAGCAATAGGAAGTTCTAATTGCTAATAAGCCACCAGGATTGCAAATCCTTTTTCAAATTACTTTCAAACAAGCACTCTGTTTATAGGCAGACAAGGAAAAGACAACCACTACTGAAATAAAGCATCCAAACCATTCAAAATAATCTGCAATTGCTTCCAGACAAGATGCAAACACCAATTTATGCTCATTACCGAAAAATGTCTGTTTCATACCACAATCTGAAGTGATTTTTGTAAGCTATAAAAAAAAGGATTGAAATCAAAGAAACAGACTTCACCCATGTACCCAAGGAACTGAAAACTCCCTTACTTTGACAGTAATTTTTAAATTTTCCCCACCATTCTGCAAGAATAAACCAAAGTTATTGACAGATTTCCCTGGAGTATTCATGAACTGCAGGTCAGAATTATGGAATTGTATTTTGCCTTGAACTTCACAAAGCCAGGCCGTGCAACATATTTTATCAAAGAAAGAATCCCCACCTCCGGTGTGTTCCCAGGCGCACCTCGCAGGACTGCCTCGTGGGCACCGGAGAGGAAGAGGGGAATATAACAGCTCAGAGTAAGTCACACCCACTTCTTGAGGGCCTAGCCTGCAAACCTAGCTTACTTTGAACGCCAACAGCAATATGGGTTACCAAACAGAAAGAACCTGAGCCCCAGCTAGGTGACCTTCCCTGTACTTCTGTCTCCCTGTAAACCTGCAACAGAAACAGCCTTAAAATTCCCCAATTCACATTTAATTTACAACCCTCCAATTTCATTAAATACTTCTGTAAGCCACAGAAGTGCTTCAAATTCAAAATATTTAAAATACTTGCCTTTTAACAGAAAGGTCATACTTACATGAACAAATTTAAATACAAGTGTAACTATCAACAAGAACTGCCACCATTCAGAGCATATCAGAAAAATAGTCTTCTGCACTCAGTTTGTTGTTGTTGGAGCTTTTTGGTTTTTTGTTTTGTTTTTAATATACTAAGGAATGGATCATATTCTTTCTGGCAGCACAATAATAGCTGCAGAAGTCAAGAGTGCATTTATTCTATGATTTTTAATGACAAAAGCTAACTTGTAAGGCATCAAAATAATCCAATGCAAGAGAATGGATAGTAGAGTCCATAAAATGGCATCAGGCTCATCAGGAATATTTTCTTTTCATTTGGAAGCTATCGATCTTGTATTTTAAAACTCATCTCTTATGAAACTGCAGCAAAGGGTTCTTGACAGAAGATAGCCACTAGCCAACCCACCCCGTGAATTTAGGATTTATAAAGTTTTAGTTCATTTTTATGGAGATAGCAAAGACACTCCAATACAGATTTAACTGGATCCTCTTTAGGATCCACCAACACCACTCTGTATTGGATTAATATAACAAACAGTTCCTATGAATTACATAAAGCTATTTTTAATTTGGATAAAGATGCAGAGTTGACTATTTCCACACTAATAATGTCATTCTTCTCACTCAGTCATCCTCATTTGTTCACACTATCCCTCATCGTAAACCCCTATTTTATCACAAAATACTCTCAATAGCTCTATTGACTCCTAAAACACCACCTCCTCTACTCTTTTGCTTTTATGAATCCTGAAAACAGCCTCTACCCACCTACAACATTCGACACAGTATCCTAATTTAGTCTGGCTGATCATCTCTGATCATTTCATATTGCCCACTCCTTGTCTACTGTACGCACCATCTTTTTGTGCTGGCCAATACATCACACTCAGATTTCTTTGACAAGCCTTCAGGGTCCTCTATCCTTTCATTTCTATTTTCATTGTCAAATTTCACCATCTCCATGCTGGATTTCCATACCCTTCTGTTTTTTCTATTGTATTTTCTTTATTTTTGTTCTTAGAGTTAAGACAGCTAGAGAGACCAGAAAGATAAAGCTTTACCCTCTGAAGTTTGTTATTTCCTCTCTGTTGCTGCCCTTTCTTATGTCTACAGTTTCATACCTATATATAATCTCTTCTTTTTCTAGGCCAATAACTAAAAACCCAACACATTTCAATAGGATTGTTTTTGCTTTAAGTCCACTGTCTACAGATCAGTATCCACTACGTTGCCAACTGCCTCCCTGCTCAATTCCCAGCTGTCAGCAAAGTATTATCTAAACTATCACGAAATCTATTGCTGCGGTAAATAAAAACCCAAACCGTACTGCATTGCTGGAACTCGTCTGAGAGTGTTCTAGAGGCAATCTACAACTCATGCTCAGAAACGTTTTTTTTTGAGACTTGGTAGGCATGTTATCTTTTACCTATCACGAATTACCTGTTTCAGGATGCCTGCTAAACATCCCGTGTTTACTCTGCATGCAATTTATGGATTGGAACAAGAGCTAGTAACCAGACACTTGGGATCACATAAAACTTCAGCAAAACAATCTCCAACTCAGTTACAATCAGTTTAAAGACTATTTTCTGATTTTAAACAGAATTGCTCCCACTTACAGTGATCCTTAACCCTCTAACATTATTCTAATTCAAGAAGAAACTCAAATGGAGTTATCTAGTATTCTCCTGAAATGTATTATAGTTAAAAGAATTAAATTATTAGAGCTAAAGGAAGGTCATCATTTCATGCATGGTCTAAGCAAGCAGCGCTGCTAAAAGCGGCCAATCTATTCTTCCTCTTCTCCTTCGTTACTCGTTTCTAGGACTACATTCTCCTTGCGAATGTTTCTGCTGGAAGGCAATTTTCTCCAATCCTTAGGCTCACACATGCAGCCAGCCACTTCACCCTGCCCTCGAATGACACCAGAATAAAAATGCTCTGTGCAGCTTTGTCTTTTTTGAATAATGAAACCATCACTTCTGTACCTGTTCTCACTCATTCTTAATGCTCCAAAAAGGAGAAAGATAGTTCAACCAATTGTGCCCTGCACCTTGTTACAAGGTCCGACTCAAAATTAAATATTAACGGTGTACTTTTCTGCTTATTGATAAAAATTGATACTTAAATCAGTTTCATTTAAAACCTTTCCAGAAAATGTAAGAATTTTCTCAATATATATTTGAATCTTTTAAAATTATATTCTGAATTTAATAGGAAACTTCCTATCAAGGAATATACTTTACATTCTAGGTTTTGACAAGAAATCATTAATATTAATTATATTTTTAAAAATATTATATCCAAAGCAAGGAACCTTAGATGTCTGGGTTGCCAGAAATATCCATTACAATATTAATAATTTTTAAAAATCTGAGTTGATCTCAAAGATCTCTAAGTAGCTATTGCACAATCTTTGCAAAGTTCTTAATTTTTAATATATCTGTTCAGATAAAAAATAAAGCTAAAATCAGAAAAGTATATTAAAAGCTAAGAATGTTATTTAGGGAATAAATGATCTCAATTTTCTGTATGTAGTTGCTGCACATTTGAAAGAGACTACAGCTAACGTGAGTACAGTAATTATTTGAAATCATTCTTGGGGGAGGAATCATGGTTGGCCTTTCATTAAAACAAAAAGAACAAGAATATTGAAAAAAATGCCTTCTTTCTTATCAACATCTTTATTCGTACACTCATGACATAAGACATCCCATTGAGCTGTGTGTATGCACACACACACATACACAGAGTACACAAAAATCAGGTAAGGTGCAAACGAGGCATGCATTCTTATACAAATGAAGCTGCAATGTATAGTGTTTCTGAAGGAAATTAAGCAATATTCTGTGGGCATGTAGGATATATATGAGGACATAGCGGGGGAAAAAAAAAAAAAGAGAACAGATAATAATCCTCAATATCTGTAATGGGAACACCAGCCTCTGGTCTATGAAATAGTAAAGTCCCTAGTCAGGTTGTGAAAAGAAAAGGAAAAAAAAACCCCAAACAAACAAAACCCAAAAACTATATGGCCAGGTAGCTACCATCCTTAACATTAAAGAAAAGAAAAAGCCTTCTTCCAAGGCTAAGACAAGACATTGTAAACTCAAGGGGGTTTTTTTCCATCATCATAATTAGTACCCTGAAAAGAAAAAAGAAAGAAAAAGAATGAAGAGATTTATTTAAAACACTGCAAATGACTCATTTAACCTGCATATCCACTAGGATAGATAACTTCTAGGCAGACAACTCTAAATGCAGTTTCCATGAGAACAGAGTCACATCATGATATTTTTAATGTCTTCTCTTAGGAAGTAATCTACATTTAAAATATGGAAACTAGCATTAGGAAGCTAAGCCAAAGTTAAACCTAGGTTCATACCCCAGTGGAATACTTTTACTCTGTAATAAAATAAAGTCATTCTATAATAGTACCAAGAGGACAATATCCACTTTATTACTAATTGTGCTACATTCATCAGATTCTGGAATGGTGCTATAGTCTCCCCAGTAAGAAGTAATATTAAAAAAAAAAAAAGTATTCAAGTGATTACTTAAACCCTATCCTAACAAACAAGCTCCAGAAAACATTCTGACTACACGACTCAAACACCCAGCAAAGAAGAAAACACACACAGATCACTGAACTACGCTACACTGAACCACAAGACCCAAAGGTCAAATCTGAAATAATTCTTGCTAGGAACAGCAAACAATCCCAAATACCAATTAAATATAAAAGCTCCTTTAGACAAAATAGTCTTTTTCACTATTCAGAAGTAGTACTTGATACAAAGGAGGGAATAACAGCCATAGTCAACGCCCATCCCAGGAATCAGTAGAAGGTTTGCAGTTCACCGAACAGCTGTGGGTTTTGTAAGCCTGGTGTCACCTGGGATATGTGGAGGGGTTTGTAACTGGAAGAGAGTGACTATGTAGCCAGCCTGTCTGCTCCTGACTGTGTTAATCACAGGGTTCTAATTCCTATTGCATAAACTAATATCCAACTGCTTACCTATAAATAAGAATCAAGAAGGAATTTCTCCATTGTAGTAAGCGAGACCTTTTAGTATTGACCAGACAGTGCCAGAAATCTGAAGAATAACTTCATTAAACTATAACTGCTCTGGTAGGTCAGAGATCCGGATGACAAATGGCACACAGAAAGCTCTATTCTGAATGCTATGGACTAACCCTCAGAGTACAAAGAGGCAACAGTAGGCCAAGGGCCTTCAGAAGAGCAAAAACAAGCAAAAAAACCCATCTGCAGGAAAGACATTGAGGTACTGTTAGCTTCGGAAGGGGCAGGCAAGTTCGCTGGGTCCATGAACAGTTAGCAATCCCCAACTGAACCCGGAGATATTTTATAAGCCTTAGTTATAAGTGAGGGAAAACAAATCACATGCTAAGCAGACAGTTTGGGGGTGGGGGAATGAGTCTGGGATTTTTGTTTTGTTTTTCTTTACAAAGAGGCATTTAAAGCCCAGTGTTTCAAAGCACATTTCAATGGTGCCCTTTAGCAGCACATTCAAGGCAAATGGCTTCTGATCAGAAGAAAATCCCTCTAGAATAGGTTTTCTATCTCGTAAACAGAACACAAGTGCATCAGTAACACACTTTGAAGCATGCAGAAAAATAGACATGCGTTGCTTGCTGCTGCTACTGGAAGAACTCCAAATAATGGGTGGTAAAAATGCCATTACTGAAGAACTGCTGCTAGCAGAAAATTACACGTGATCTTTTTGTCCAAAGCAGTCCTATTTCTAACAGACACAAATAGGAAGAATTAAGTGAGTAAATTAACAGCAGAAATATAATAGTACTATCTATGGGAACTATATGTACTGATTTATTCTTACCTTCTTCTGCCTCATCCTCCTGGGATGACATAGGCCCTCCTCCACTTGTCGGGCTGACCAATTCTTCCTCTCTTGCAGATTCTCTTTGTAGACTGACAACTTCATAAATTGCATCCCCAGCACTTGTGTGGCTTTTTCCTTCAGACTAAAACAAAATACATGTATATATTAGGTCCACACTATTGATAAATACAGTTCCACTAGTATGCCAAAACCAAACCCAAACACATACAAACAAATCTGCTATCAAGCTAAACAATAGTTTGAGCAAGACTCCCTCGGATTTCTTTGCAATGGCACACATAGACTGGCATTAATTGACAGCTCTCATTCTCTAAGTTTCATAGGTAGAAAATATAAATAAAACTGCATTATTTCCAAAGCTGGCTCTTAACAGCCATTTTAAGTATTGTTCAGAATGATGATTAAAAAAAGCTTTCCAATTTAAATCACTATAATGAGATGAGGTCAAAGAGAAACCTCAGCAAAAGGAGAGAGGAGAGAACACACAAGAAAAATACTAGAGTGACTGACATCACAGAAACAGGAATCAAATGTCTTAGGGGGAAAAAAATTTAATGGTAAGAGGTTTTTTTAGGTAAACATTAGCGACAAAGAAGAAACAAAACCTCATGCTTTCTGAAAGCCACAAATTCTGAACAGCTCCTTGTAGTGTTTTACTCATTAAAAAAAAAAAAAAAGAAAGATTACTTCCAGTGAGTATAATTTGTAATATACTCCTTTCAATGGGGAAGTGTATTGGCTGTACCTAGCTACAACATTTGTGTTTGTAGCCTAAGTTTTATTTATTTCTTACTTTTATATATGTGTGTCTGTATGCTCACATGTGTCAATCTAACAGATCAATTAACTTGGAAATTTGAGTGTGGTATCTGTAACTATATAAATTTGGAGGTGGAATATTTTCAGTGGAAATCATTTTATTCTGTAAAAGCAGTTTTTCTTTCAAATCTGTCTCTAGGAATTTGGTAACTTTCAAGGCAAACTACCTCAAAGGTTGCAGGGTGGGGGAAGTTTTTTGTTTTTTTTTTACTTCAGGCTGGAAAAGTTCAGAGTTTAATCTCTCATGTTCAATGGACTTTCACATGAAAAAAGTTAGTTACCTATACTTTAAGCACTGGATACAAGGTTGCAAGTTTTAAAATAAAAGGAGTATTCATTTCTCCTCTGAGTTACAGTTCTGAACACAATAATTATTTAGTGACATGCAGTGATTAATATATTTTTAGCCAATTGTATGAAACTGCAAACTAATGATTGTATTAAATGAACCAGCTCAAAATGCTGTGCTATTTTGTTCTTTGTGCATCTTGCCTAATCAGTTAAAATAATGTAATTTTCCAAACATATTAAAAACATCAAATTAACCATGAAAAAGAACACAATTTTAGTTAGAGAATATTCAATTTGTTTAATAAACAAAATTATGATAAAGTTGGAAGACTCCACAACACCTTTGCTGGAGATGCACATGAACTGCTGACCAGCACTTGCAATTTCAACAAGCTGGAGAAATTCTGCAGATGGGTAGCTTAAATAGGAACTGCTTGAACTGACGCAACACAAATGATTTTATACTGAGAAAACTGTCGCTAATGTTTTTTACATTAATCATTCAGATCTGCTTCCTTTAAAGCTGATACTCCCTGGAAGCAGTGCCTCCAATTATCAGCCAGTTTTGCTGACTGAACTTCTCATGAAGTCAGCTTAATGAACTCTGGGGTGTAGGTATGAATACCCTGCATTTGGTAACATTTAGCAGGATGATATTAGAGCCATTATCCTTGTTTTATTCTCACAGAACACCATTATCAAGTAATTACAAAGTACTTGGTTAAATCAATCAAGTATTGCTGCCACTAATATTATTAATCATCTATAGCTTTTATTTTTGAGGGAGTAAGGCATGAGGTACCATGGATTTTGTTGTATTTTGCAAGAATTACAAGTCTTAAGCTCCTTGCACATGTTCTGGTTAACTGCAAGATCCATCTCTATAAAAAGCAAATAATTTGGTTATTTGTTTTTTCTGAAGCATGAGTTTGCTATCTACAGGAATCCACCTTTACAAGGATTGTGTTCTAACGATGAAAATGTGCATGAGTAACACAGTGAGATAGGTAGATAGGTAGATAACAAAAACAATCCTAAATCACACAGTAATCTGCATTTATGTCATTCCTCATATCTGACTGTACCTCACCAATCTCAGTTCAGTCTATTAAATCTATCTGAATCTTTCCTCAGAAAAGTTCTGATTTTTCTCTGCCAACACAGACAGGTTCCATTTACCCCTTGCGGGAAAATGTCATTTCATTGGTTCCATGCCTCCTTTTGGAACATCAGTAATGCATGCTTCCTCACTGGAAGGGGCACCTTGCTGACACAGCCCAAGTCTAAAGCTCCCTGCCAAGGGCTCCACATGCTAGAACTGTGAATTTCTCACCCACAGTGAAATACATGACGTTTGCACAATGACCGATAGCATTACTGTTGTGATTTTACATCAGTAGGAAATTATATCGCAGGATTCACTGCCCTGTGCAGAGCAGCCGTCTATCTTTGGAGTTGAGGCTTTTGATATTAATCCACTGTTATGTTCCCTAGAATCTACATATGCTCAATTGCTTTCCCAAAAAGTTCACAAATGGCTGATCCCAATGCCATCTGCCAAGTTATTTTCCAAGGAGTAAGAGTGTCCTGAGATACAGGGTCTTTCAGAGGTATCGGCAGGAACAGCTATTGTGATACAAACTGTCCACCTGATAAGCAGCTAAAGACTTGCTACAGGTCAACCAGAGAGATCCTGTCATCCATAATCAGGACCTATTCTTGTAGAAATATTAAAAAGTTTCAAAGCATTCCTTTTCCAAAAATCTGCAGAACAGCTCCTCAGAATATTACAGCAGGAAGAAATGCGTGTGTTCCTTCAGGGAGGGGAGGCATGTATATGTTTGTCACATTGTAAGGGGTGAGAAAGAAAAAAAGAAAGCATCCATATTACTCAATTAAAAATGGTACAGTTGTAGGTGATTTAAAAGGAAAGCTTAACTGATTATAGATAAGTATCCAACAGCTGAGAATATAATATTTTCAAATGTATTTTCTTTAAATTTAAAATGTACACATTCTTAACATTTGCATATAACAGTTGGTTTTCTCAGATTTTCTTAAATTCTGAGTTGCTATGCTAATCTCTAGAAGAAACACAGAAATAGCATTGCATAAGATTTATTTACTCACTGTTAAACACGGTGGCACTTTTGCCATGTAATATCAACATAACTTCTTTTTTCAGACCTATTACTGTACCCCACAGGAGGATGACAACCTAAATGTTCACCTCAGGCTCAGTAAAATTAAGTCACTGCTCTTTGGTTTCATTAGTCAAAGATGACGGACCACTATTCCAATGCAAATGGTACAGTTAGCCTCTGCTGTCCACTTTTTAAACCAATACCACAACGTTAAGTCTTTGGAGAAAGCAGGCCAACAGATGTGCATCATCCTACAGTGATAAAGGGCGGACATACATACTTTAGGTACCTCACCCAATGCCAAAGACGGAAGAGACTTTAGCATTCTACTCAATAGATATCTGGTAATGTTTGTCGAACAGCTGAGATGGATACATCGTCTCTGAGTGCTTGAGGAAGAAATAAATGCACATTAATCACACAAGCACAGGACTGGGAAAGCTAACATAGAGGGAATACACAACTATGCATTAAGCTTCATCTCAACCACTTTCTCCCTCTGTGGAATAGAGCAGTATTTGTACAACTTGACTTAAAAGCCAAACTCCAAGGGACTAACAAACTGAAATATTTCAGAGAAGAGTTTGCTGAAAATGGTTATTTCTTTACTACTATTTGAACATTTCAAAAGGTTACAATCATCAGGAAGAAATCACACAAACAAAGCTAATTTAATAAGTCATTGCAACAATAATGCCCTTAGCCTCATATTTCATAAAGCCCTGAGGCAGAGGAGGACAAGACTATAGCTCATTTTATACCCTCATCAGCAACCACAAGGGTGAAAACACGGCAACTTCTCCAAGCAGCAGAACTTACTGTTCTAGATAACCTTCTTCCAAAGCTCTTTTTGAAAACATGGAGAAATCTACCTTCTCAGATACTTGGAAAAAAAACCAATAGTAATAGCCTAACTCTTTTAAATCTCTGCATTAGGTTCCTTTGCCTTTATATTATATTCTTACAGCCACCTACCTTCACATTTTGAACCTCAGTAACCAGCATTTCTTTTTGTTACATATTAGTTGATTTTTACACTGAACAATTAAAGGGTCATTTCCCAATTTTACCAGTCAAATGGACTTGCTTTAGATATCTGCACACAGGTCAGATTGTATGAAATTATAGAATATTTAATAGGTAGGTTCAAAATTGTTTAAGCCCACAAAGGCAATGACTTATGACGTGTTATAATTCAGTTTGCAAAGGCACTGAATGTTTATATATACTACTTAACCATTATGCATTTAAGCATCTCAGCGATAAATAGTTAAAAGAAACTAACTACTGAGGTGCAGGTGCAATGCTAACTTTTATAAAGGCCAAATTAGGACAGACAAAAATGCTCCCAGCATTCAACTTTTCTTTAAAAAACAAACATGCATCACCTGTTTTAGCTTCATATAAAAAGTTTCTGTGAAAGTTTTTCTGCTGAAGTACCAGAAGCGTTCATTGGCAGGATACACACGCACAACAGTCTCCAGCAAAAACCGGACTGGCTCCACTACTTCAGTAACGACCATATCCACTGCCACAGTCATGAATACACGCTTATCTAAAACACAAAAATAAGTCGCATACAGAAATATTAGCCAAAGTTCAAATTTCTCAAAACAGTAAATGACAGAAGTAAACCATTGTTCAAATTGAAAACCCTTTCTATATAATTATTGATTCTATTGCACCCATTTTATTTATCTGAGTTCTACACCCTACGTACCTGCTGCACAGAATGACAGTATGCATTAAACAGTGTACCAAGTAACTCTGATAACTTTTTAAAACTATGACAGCACATCTTTGTTTTAGAGACAGGAGCAAAACATCATGCAAAGAAAACAGCGTTAAGATACATGATCCCCCATCAGACAAAAGGAACATGCACAGGATAAGGTCACATTTTAAAGTGTAAACTTACTGCTGAGGAAATATATATGTATGGCAAACCAGTGTCAAGGATCTCCCACAGCACTCTTTGTCTTAAATCCTCTCACAAAAAATGATCTGAAGTGTTTCTTAGTGTTATGTCCGTGCTCAAACTCTGTCAGTTAAAAGGACTCAAAATGTTTTACCCCTCCCTGTCCCACTCTCCAGGTTAGAAAGTCCTCATAGCTGCAAAACATATTTTTAAAGCAAAGCTTTTAAAGTAATCTTAATCTGTAATAGCTCCATCTTCCTGATACTGAAGCATAACTCCAACTTTTTCAAATAGAGGAGAATGCAGGATCAACTAACCAGAGGATGAGACTGAAATAGTCCAAGTGTATCTTGCAGGTTTACAGTACAAGAAAGGTTTGCTGCTTTCAGAAACATTCACCAGAGAGAGAGGTAGTAACCATCATGTTGCATCACAAGTGCTATCTTTCTTACAGGAAGCACAGCTCTTTAAAATAACATTTAGAATCATACATTACAACGGATCCCTAGGTTCCCTTGTCTGATAACCCATCTGCGGCGAGAGAAGAAGAAGAGAGAAGAAGAAGAGATTACAAAACCAAACCACACACACGAAGTCATACTGTAAAATGGAAACTGTGTCAAGCTGCACAGCAAGAGTTTTGGCCTGTATGCTCCTAGAAATAATGCAGTTTGAAAAATCCATCAGCCAGAACAGTAACACTGTCTCTATATACTTGGATATGCCTTTAAGCAACTGATGTGAGCTCTGCCTTGGGATAGGACACAAACTGCAGATTTGCATTCAAGCCTTTTACATCACATCAGAGAACATAAATTCTAGCAACAAGAAACTGTGCTATGTAATCAAGCACTTCAGTGCATCACTTCCCGCTGGCCCAAGATGAAGGGGATGTAACACTATTTGTCATCAACTCACCTCAAAGCCAAAAGAAAGAGAATAGCAGTGCCTAGGATTTATACTGCTTTGCTGAGTAGGGAAGGTGGAAAACAACTTCTGCGTGCTTAGGACCCAAAGTCCTGATAACCAGGAGCAGGCACAGAAGTCCCAAACACTAATTTAACGTCTCCAAATCAGCACCTCACAGTTCTATGAACAATTATTCACATTTCCATGTTGTGTGCGTTTATACAGAAAAGTTCCCAGCCACGGACTCTTAGAACATAATGCTGTATGTACTCAGATACCACGATTCCCAGGAGAAAATACATATACCAAACCCACGTTGGGTAAAACAAATTTACAAATTAGCTTAAATTACCTTTAGGAGTTTCCTCATTAAGTACTAGAAACATGGGTGCATTAGGATTCCACATTCCAGTAATTACTCTCTTTCCCATGGATTCCTAAAAATAAAAACATACAGGATTCTGTTAGAGTCATGGTTGGATATCAAAGAGATTGACCATGGGGAGGGGAAATAGTTCTAGGAACTTCAGAGTAAGATTGCGTTTGCTCTAGAGAAGTAAAGAATATTAAATAATCGATTGAGAAAGGTTATAGGGAAATGGGAGAGAAAGAAGAAACATTAGAAGAGGAGAAACATGCAAGAAACTGAAGACCAGATTGTCGATCAACATTTTTTAATGCTTATTATAAGCACAAAAGCATGGTGGGATGTGTGCCACTCTACTTTGTCAGCAGCCGAGGTGGAGTTACAAGAGACTTCATAAAATTAAACTAGCCCTACAGTATACACAGAAATGATCCACAAAAACCCCCAAACAAACAAAATAAAAACAACAGACACCAAAACAAACACAAAGAACCCCAAACAACAATTTAACAGAATAACACCTTAACAACTCCAGCCCAAAGGTCAGTCTGATTTTTCCCAATCCATAATTATACCTCTGCTAGATTTTTCCCCAAGTTGCTCACGCATGGACTTAGATTTGTAAGTATGCCAATGGACTGGAATTCCAGTCTATAGGAACTTGAGATTTAAAGAGCTAAATTTCAGGACAATATGCAAATAAAGTCAAAACAGCTATGTCTCTATATCTGGTTAAAATAATCTTATGTTATGCCTCTGTTACTTCTACAAATATTTCTTCCAGACCTGCTAGGAATAATCAGAGTACATGACCTGCACATATGAGCTATTACTAGGCAAGTACATGCTTCCTGCCGTTTTCTGGGACAGTTCCTGTGGATCCAGCAAGCCTCTTTGTAGACGAAAGGAGACTCTGCAATCCAATTTGTGGCAGAGCAATAAAAGTGACCGAGTTCTCCAGATTTAAATAGGGAGAAAGGGGGTTGAAAGGAAAACACAAATTGGTAGGTATATGCTATAGCCAAGAAATTAACTAATAAGCCATTACATCTAGCAATTAAACATACTTGGAATGCAAATGTAAATAGAATTATAGGTGGAGTAAAGACAGGAATTCAAATATACAGTCTATACAGTAAGAAGGTATGATATAGAGATTTATAGAAACCAATTCATTACGCTCCATAACTCATTATAATTCATTCAATTTTCTAATCAAATAATAAAAATAAAAAATCTGAACTAATGTCAGCAAATAAAACCAGAAAAAAAAATGAGCTAGTAGATAGAAACAGGCAAATAAAGAAGTCTGACAAGAGCACTAAATACTGATAGCTAGAATCATCAACATGAGTAAAGAAACGGACTAGGCAAAACTGGGATAATTGTACAGCCATAAAATGTCTGATCAGTAAAACTCAAGCACTTCTTGACTTGAAAATGGTTGTATTCTTATCCACAGCAAGAAAGTAAATTGATACTATCACAAAGTATCATATTATTTTGTAGTTCTCTCAGAAGCAACTCATAAGAAATGAAGATTGTAGAAGACGAGGGAATACTTCAAACTCTGAGCAAGAATTTAAATTGACATGAAGCAAATAAAGGCAGAGTTGTCAGTGCCTTGGAAAAATAAGACCACTTCCCCAACGCCCAAATATAAAAACAATTATTTGCTCGAAATTTTTAGGCAACGTGCTTAACACAATATAGAACACTTAGTTATTTGTAACAACCAGCTGCCAGCTGACCTAATGAGCGCCTCACCAATTGAACAAAAGACAGGTGCCACAGGTTTGACATTAGTTGAAATGTTTTGTCCATTGTATGTAACAAGTTTGTTTCTAGTTTGAAGATACAAACCCCAGGATTTAAGAAACAAAAATGAAACAAAACCAAACAGATGGGAGATTTGTTTTGTTAGGTTTTGTTTGGTTTTTTCTATCTTACAAAACACCTTATTAGAGCTAAGTATTACCATGTCTAGTAAGTGCATGTCACTGTTCTTCACATTTCGTCCAGGGCTTAGTAGCATCCCAAAGCATCTGTGAAGTTTATTTAAAAAAAAGATATATATTAGTTTTTCAAAATACAGAAGTATTGTCTTGAACATAATGGCACAGCCACCTACTGCTTCTAATTTAAAGAAAACCTTTCTTAGTAATTTTTTGTTAGTGTTATGGCAACGCTCAGGAAATATCACAACATATATTATAGAAATGACAATGAAATTATTTTCCAGAATGAAGATGACAGAAATCAGCGTCTAACCTGTGAACAATCAATTCTTCTTAAAGACAACTTAGAATATTGAGTTTAAAGATACTGACAATTCCTGTACGTTAGTGATGGAGACTGGCAAGAGGAAATTCACTCTCTCCCCAGTCCATTTTAAAAATTGTTTTCATATAATCATATGAAAAGTTACAAATTCACCCATTTTATCACCCATAATGTCACTGGTGTAAAACATCACGTAGCATCGTGGGCCCTTAAAAAAAAACCAATTTGCTAAATTCTTAGACTTCCACTCTTTATTTTTTAAAACAGAAATTCTGTCTTATACAGGATCTTGAATTCCAGGATTCCCATCCAATCGTTTAACAAGAAAATGTTCTTGATATTTTTTAGAGTAAAAAAACCCAACAAAACCCAAACAAACAACAAAACCCAACATTCTTAAAACATTCAGACTTTTGAACTTTCTCAATATTGAAGGCACAAATCCAGGTCTGAAGTTTCTGCAAATTGTCTTTATCTTTCTCTCCTTTGAACATACTCCATTATGAATAAAAGAATACCAAACAGAATTATGTATCTGTAACATAAGCTGCAAGCTGTTTTGCACAGACTTTTAAAAATGTTAGATCTCAAAAGAGAAAAAATAAAACAACTTGGAAGCAATTACATCATGAAATGTTATGGAAAATTTGGGTTGTATTTCAGAGGGTTTTCCTTTGAGAATTTTTCTTCTGTACAGCTCAGTTCTCTAATACTCAGACATACCACTTTTTGTCATTGACTCTCAGAACAACGTAAACCGGAAGCGATCTCTAAGAGCAATGTGATCCAAACATCTACTCAAAAGAGGACCAACTTGAACTGGGTTGCCCTGGGCTTTGTCAAGTGAAGTTCTGAGCATCTCCAAGACCAGAGAATGAATGATGTGTTTTGGCAACCTGTTCCAATGCTCAACTCTCTTTGTATTGACAACAACTGGCCTAATTCAACAGAGGGATTTCCAGTGAAGTAACTTGGTCTATTGACTCTAATCCTCCCACTCTGCAGCTCCAAGAGGAGTCTGGCTCCATCTCCTCCATACCCTTCCACCAGGTATTTGAATGCACCAGGAGGAACCCTCCATTCCCACCTTCTCTAAGGCTGAACAAAAGCAGTTCTGTCACCTGGGCAACCCACTTACCCAAATGAAAATTTAGATTTTTCAGCAAATGTAAATTGTAAGATATTATTTGAACATTCACAGGTTAGCAATGAAGACAGTTTCACAGCTTTCAGGCAAGCCCACTGTATCATGAACAGAGATATAATAGCAAGTATCATTTCAATAATGCTATTAACTGTAAAAGCCTTACGATACGCAATTACTATACCATCTAGTAAATTTGCCCCTATTATGTTTGGGTATATGATTTTCATTTTCCACCTCATTACACTTAAACAGTAACTTACATCCACAATTGTATTTTTTCTTCTCCATACTCTTTCACTACTAGAATCTTAAAAATCAAAGTGGTAAATAGAACAGTAGACAATTTTGATTTGTGTATATAGCGTAATGCAGCACCATGTAAAGCATCCAAGGTAGCTAGGATGCTAGGAATTATATTTAACCACACGAGCAGGCTTCTCTGAGACTAATTAGACCAGGGAGAATGTTATAGTAGACTGACTTCCTACTTTTTTTCCTGGGGTCAAAATAGCTCTGAGAGGGCTATAATTTATAATAGCAGAGGGGTCACTAGCTTCTGGTACATCTGCTAAAGAAAACTGTAAGGCTAAGATTCAGAGGCAGGCAAAATACCTGTGCTTTTCAAAGAAAACAGCTCACAGATCCTAGCTCTTGCTGTGCACCTCTCAGATGTACACAAGTTCTGATGTGTGCCAGCCAAAATTTTTGGGAAGTACGCTTCCAAAAGAGTGGGAGTCAGGAACAAGTAACCCCTGCCTCTCACAGAAGCAGATACTTATGATGACCGGCAGCATCCTGCTACTAGACCAGTCGGGGCTCCTCTTCCCACTAAGTTCAAAGCGCAAAATGAGTTCAAATGAGTTCAGGACCATCACTTGCAGAGGAGCTAGATTTTACACAAACAGTTGTCAACACATTCAGCCGCCAATTTGAGGAGGCTGAACCACACACCCAGGATTCAAAATGACCTGCACAGACTGTGGGCCTCAGTCTTGCCACTTCTGACATGTTGGGTTTTCTGCACTTACAGCTGGCTACCAAGTGGCTATGTGCAGGTGCACTGCTCTGCTTAAATTCAACTAGTTTCTAGACCTGCAAAAAAAGAACTGAAATTACTCTTCGCTAATATGTATTTCCTTTTATATAAATACAAATGCTACCCATGGATAAGCCTGATGGTATTGAGCTAATATGATGTTTAAGAGTTGCCAGTACTACTGAGCAACCAGCCAGTATTCTGTACAGAAAACTTTTAAGGACACCAGTCTAAACTTTAACCTAAGCTATACCGACATAACTTGGTATGAACTCTCCTGTATGACTGGTAGCATACTATATTTAAACACCACTGTACTGAGAACAGTCAATCCTCCCATTTCTTAGAATAAAAAGCTATTTCACTCTTCAGAACAACTTTCTTAAAGGCCACGATCATTAACCAGAATTTTCTTCTTGAATCCCGTAAACAACTGAGACTTGATATCCTACATTGTGGGACTGAGCCTACATAGTGCCACCCATGACTCAGACCTGGGAGACAGGAACAAATATCGTTTCTTTACCTGCTTTGACCTAGAAAAAAAAAAAACAGACAAAACCCAGGTCAAACAGGTAGGAAGGGCCAAAGTAACTCAACTGAGAGTAAGCTACTCATCAACGTAACCCAACCATAGGCCCCATCTGAACACCAGGAGGGGACAAGTTTCTCAGAGTGATACCAAGTATATATATCTACTCTTCTGAGACCATGAAGAAAGAATCTCGAACTCTTTAGACCAGAGACCAAATTTCTTTAGCAGCATTTTTTTGCATTATCATTTCCACTTCGAAATACTTTTGAAGACACATTACATTGCTTAGAAGCTCACTGTCTTACATAACCTCAATTGATCTTTTATACCGGTTTTAAATTTCAGTATTATGCAGTGCAAGTACATAAAATGACTTACAAGCCTGTGTATATCATGTCAATTAAATACCTTTTATTGGCAAAGCTTGTGGTGATAAAAATAACATCCTAATTGAGCATCCTAAACAACATCGAAATAAGAGCTAATTTTTAAGGAAGATAGCTTTTGCTTTGAGGGGGGGGAAACCCAACAATCAAATGCTATTCAGAAATGCTTAATTATTCATTATAATGAATAATGCTTTTTAATCATTAATTAACTGAATTCTGAAGCTAAAATTATTTAAATTAAAAATACATTGAAAATAGTATTTTTGTTAAAGCCAATGAGTAGCAAAAGCACAATTTTACAATACAAAAGAATGATGATACAAATTCTGCTGTATATGCCTTGTTTTGAAAATGAAATTATGATTTTAGACAAGAGCTTGAAAGCAAGTGAAGAAATCAATCTACAGTTTTGGGAGGGTGTGGGCCTTTTTTCTTGATTCTCTTATATCTCGAATTCTCTTTTCACTAAAATTGAATTCTCCTATTGTTACTCTTTTGATAAGATTGCCATCTGGTGGCGTTAGCTGTTTTTAAAAATTGAGCTATTGAGAAGCCATTTTCCAATTTAAACGAATACAATACCTACTACTACTGTAGTAAGCAAAGTCTACTGTTAGTGAACACATTAACTAACTGTTATTCTGCGGGTGCATGTTCCGCTTCTTGTGCAAATGTTTTGCACAAAAGGTTGGATTATTCTGTCCAAAAGGGATCCCTCATGTAATTTCTAGGAAATACAGCATGAGTCATCAACTGTTCCTGAGCTCTTCACCATCACTTCAAGATAAACACTAGAATCATATTATAAGAAAAACTACAAAGGAATCCTACTCATCTTGAAGACTCCACCAAAACATTGCTGCTTCTAACAAGCAGGTTAAGTCCAAACTTGTACTGTTATGGTACATTAATCTAACAGATTAATATTCTCCAAGGTTTAACATAGCTCAGACAACCTAGCTTGGTTATTTTTACTAAACAGAGAGATGCTAGTAATGCGGGATTACAACAAATGTATGTTTTTGCATTACTTAAAACCAACAGAAAGCAAAATCAAAAGCATTTGAATGTCACGAGTATCCTAACACCACAGTCAGAAAGACAATTAAAAGGCAAAACCCCAAGAATGTTTGAGTATTGCAGGTGGTGTTTCTTGTTTTCACCTAAAAATCACACAAATACTTCAAAAGAAATTTAAAACTGAACTGCGCGCCTATAAATTAATTACATTGTGCAATAATGCTTTCTGTGTTATTATTTTTTTTTTCTGTCGCATAACTTGTAAAGCCAGGGAAAAGTACATTAAAGACTGTTCTCTCAAAAACTGAACCTGGATTATTTTTATAAGAATCTTACCTCTCAATGGCCAGTTCTTTGTTTGAGAGTTGCTGAACTGTAATCACCACTTTCTTCTCAATTCCCTGTTTAAGCTTGAAATACAATTTCTCTCTATCCTTTGGCACAGGGCTAAAAGAATAAAGAAACAAGTTTCTTTAGCACAGGTATAGAACATTAACTTCTAAATACAGAAAAGAAAGTAGCAGCCCACTTAAACTGTTAATGGCTCAACTTATTTGAGAGACCTTCTCTTCCTTTAGTCACAAGTTAATAAACAGTCACTAAAGAAAAACAGACTATAGGCTCATGCTTAGTAGGCTGTCTGGGGGATTTATCAGAGAATCATATCCAAAAATGCATGGGGTAATATGGGGTTTAAAATGATAGAGAATATGCTATATACTAGCTATGAAGCAAAAAAATAAATAGGACATTTTCATAGAAATAACTCTTATTATCAACTCTTCCATTCCAAAAAAATCTTGTCATTAACTGTTAGGCAAAGAATACTTTGCTCCCCTGTCCCCTGCAATGCTTAGAGAAGTTTGCATTTTCTAGATCTTCAATAAATTTTGAATTCATTAGTTTATTAAAAAAAAAAAAAAACCTCAAAAAAAGAGACCACTAGACTACTTACTCAAGAAAATTGGTTTGACTAAAGTTTTTTAACAGACTTCCTACCATGTTTTCCATGTACACAGGCCTACCTTGAGCATCCCTAACAGAAATCACGCATTTAAAAGAAACTAGCTTAAAAAAGGTACCCTGATTTTTAAACTTTTTACAGAAAAGATAGAGAGAAGAAAATTGTAAAAGCAAAGCAACAGTTTCCTTTTTATAACAAGTCTACTATGAAAAGAGGACAAATCAATTTTACTGCAACATAGCAGCTGTGCATTCTGCAAGTAGCTACGTGCTTTTTTTTCAAAGAGATTTCTACTTTTCCCTTTCCACTCAGATTACCTAAAATTTCCTTTTCCATCATCTTCTTTTACTTCTAAGGAAACACTAAAAGTGTACACATCACTATCTGGAGTAGGAAGAACAAAGTCCTTAACATGATCAGATGCTTGTTTGGAAGAACGTTTGAATGCTGTTGAGAAACTATATAAAATTCGGCTGACCTGCAGAAAAGCAAAAGAATTAATAGTATTACCAAAGATAAAAGAGTATTTTTAATGGGGTACTGTGATGTGGTTTTGAAGGTCATAAAATTACTGCCACTTGCCTCTTATACTGAGCACAAAGCATGCCTCATATAAGACAAAACATTCAGATTGGGTGTTTAATAACCAAGCAAATTCAGTAACAACATCTATTTCCATTCACGTCACATCCACTGCCCGTGTAATGCTCAGTAAGTTAATATATACTACAAGATTAGGAATGCAACTCATTAGAGGACCTGAATAATGTACTTTTCAGGTTGTGTATTTAACAACAGAACTTACAGCTTGCCCTTGTACATATCAAAAAACAAGATTTTTCCTTTTTCAACCTCTATTTTTCCATTCTAGAAAATCCTTTTGTCCCAAACTATCACTTAGTTCTTCCTAAAATATCTAGGGCAGAGTACTGTAAAATGATTCTTTAACTCACGAGGTCTACACTACAGCTTTAATCTGAAACCTACCCAAACGAGACCTGAAAAACAGAATACTCATCTTAAACTTAGGCTTACTAAATCTTCCCATTACAGTGCACTTTGGAATTTTATTGAAATACTGAAAGAAAAAAATTAAATTATATTAATATCCATGCATGACTAGCTGCACATTCTGTGAAATTCATTATACATGTGTTAACATTTTTAAGGCACTATACACCATTTCCACATCTGGAATAACTTCTTAAAATACTGCTTGTATCCTTTTTACCAGTCACTGTACAACATTTAATACTTACTGCCTCTTTAATCTCACAGGAGAAAACATGAATCTGGAACTCTTCTGTTCCACAGCTGCTTTCAGTAAATGCAAAACAGTCACTCTCTGAGGTCCCGTTTTGTCCACGCACACAAAACAACACCTTATAGATTGGAAAAGAGGCTATCTCCACATTGCTTGATTGATCTATTATTCTGTCAAGGAAAGGAACAGAGAAGATCAAAGAAAAAAGGTCAGTAAAACAAGCAGGCCTACCTAAAAGGCTTTTCTGCAATTAGATAAATATCTGAACTGTAATTACTATTAAAGTCAAGTACACAAGATGGGCAGTAGGAACAGAAACGTCAGGCTTTCCAAATTTAAGATGTAAATGTTTCTGGTTGTAACTTTGCCTTAATTTCTTTTATACTCCATAATATAGACAAACATAACACCACTATATCGTGCAATAGCAACAATCACTATGGCTCTGCAATCATTCGTGAAAAACACAAGAGGAGAAATGTAGAAACCACAGCAACCATGAAAATGCAATTTGCACACAAAGATCAAAGAAAATTGAATATTATAAAAGAATTTAAATATCTGTTTAAGAAAACATTAAGAAAACATTATTTATTCGGAATCTACAGGACTGTATAGCTTAGCACATGCTTGCTGCCATGTTCAGGTGAGTATTAATCACAGATCTAAGGGCTCATACAAAATTTTAGATTCCTCTCAAAAACTCAGAACCCAAACAGTATTTCAGAAACTTTAAAGATGACAACTCGGGTGGTGGTCTCAGAACAGACTACTAGACAGTAAGTTTTAAAGAACAGAGCTACACAGTTCTCCTCTGTCTTTTTGCTACTTGTCCATATGCACACTCACACCAAGGGTGAATAAACATTATTACCTGGAATAGAATCCCAAGTCCATAACAATAAAACTAAAGGACTAATCTTCTAAAGGCAAGAAAAGCCCAGAAAGGATTCAGCATACTGTAATATTAGTGGGACACGTTAAATGGAACCCCACATGACAAGTGTTCAGATACCAAGAATGGAAACACTCCTCAAAGGTGACACTGGTGTCACTTGAACTTTGATCGAGTGTATTGTGTCACACATGGATTCACCTTTACAGTTCTGTGCAGGTTCTTAGGCAGTCCTTTGCTTAATGATGTCCTCTGCAATTAAAGATCAAAGGAACCTGCAGTTTCACTTGCAAAATAACCTTCTTGAATGGCCACAATGGCTACGAAAATAGGTACAGCACACCTAACATCTCATGTCTATGTGATAGTTGCCATCATAAAAGCATGCAGTGTAATTTCCTAATTCAAATGAAATATCACTGTAACATCAAACAAAATCTTACATTGGGTTCAAAGAGCAAAATGGAAGAAAATAATATATATGCTTGAAGGTCCTTCTGTCTTTCTGTGCAAGATGATAGTCAATACACAGACGGAGCACAGAAAGGAAGGAAATCTAACCATGTCCTTCAGATATTTTGGTATTAGAGTTTAAAAATAAAAATCTTGAATATTGAGATGCTTCCTGCTTCCGGATGCAAGATTGCTACAGGTGCACCTTTAGTGCATCCTGATTAAGAACTCTTGACTCCCTCATCACTAATTAAAAGACCCTTCTCACATGGGGCAAGTCGATGTTTTCTAGTATCTAGAGACTATCAGCACATGCATCATGGGGCAGACGCAGGTAAGACTTGGCTTTAGCATAGCAATCTCTGGAAATGGAGACCAGCATCTCAAGTCCTCAACGCATACAGAAGAGTCTAACACTGAAATTTCTTCAGCTAACCCAAGGCCAGCAGGACTACTAGTGTCTCAACATATTTACTTTGGAGGTGATTACAGACTAAGAAGGTTGGGAGGAAACAGACATTACCAGTTCTCCCTTTCCAGGGTATCTCTTATTATCACATTTGAACAGAGATGAGGTAGAAAGATGCTTTTGTTGACACTGTATGGCAAACACTACCACCAACTATGTACCACATGTCACATTTGAGCATGTATTTTCTCGCTTCAGGGGAATTTCTCAAAAATACCTGTCTTCAGCAAGAACTTTAGACACAAATCCAGCAACTCTACTTCCCTGTGCAAGGTCACAAACTCAGAATCCACCTTTTATGTGTCTACACAAATAACCAAAGGAACATTTGTATGTTACCTTACTGAGCCTTCTGGAATGTTTGGAACGTAAAGCGTTACAGATAAAGGGGCTTGACTTGAGGACTTCATGTTTGCCATGGCATGTAGAGCTTCCGGTTCATTTCGAGGGGCAGACACCTTTGTGCAGCCTAAATAAGTCAGTTTGTTAAACAATACGCTGTCCTCTTCCAGGGGTTGACCAGGAGAAGATGGTTTTGGTGCAGAGATTTCTGAAAATGAAGAAACCACTTCTTTAACCATTTGTTTTTATTTTTTTTACACATGGTTTTCTGAATGAGTTCCATAGCAAAATCTCCCACTTTTTCTGAGAATGGACATGGGAATCAGAAGTCCAAGCTCCAATAGTAAGAATTTCATTTGGCAGCTTAATATTAAGTCTATCCTATTCTAAGGCATGCTTCCAAGTATGGCATAGGGACAAACTGCCTTTTGATTCTTTTTAGCAATGCTGGAACACAATTTTTCTTTAAGTTCCATTCCCCAGATATTCTTTTCTTTAGTTTGCTTATACCTGCTTCTAATTCCTACTCATCATTTTGCATAAAGATGCCTCTAATTCTCTTCTCTCCCATGTCTTTGCAGCTTGTGCAGAATTATTAAATGTGCTTCATATTCCTGGCATAGCTATATTACCTGCATGAAACCATCAGGGAGCTGGAGAAAAGAAAAAGGCTATCTGTTTGTTTCCCTACTCAGCGGAAGTGAAGTGTTCTTTTTCCACTATCACACTATTATGGACAAGGGCAATCTTGAGGGAGCTTTTGGGAGTTTTGCTGTTATTGCTGTTTTCTGATGGGTTTTTTTAAGGCATTAGAGAAACAAGAGGAGAGGTGGGAGAAAAATTCATTAAATATGGAATCAGAGTAGCCTAGGTTAGAAGAGACCTTTAGAGGTCACCTGGCTTTAACTCCTGCTCAGAGACAGATCAGGTTAGATCAGGGCTAGTTTCAAAACTGGATCAGGTTTCTCAGAGCTCTGTCCAGCTGAGTTTTGGTATCTCCAGACATTCCAAACCCCTCTAAGCAATCTGCCCTGTTATTTCTATTTCTTGTTACTATAGCCAATTATTTCCATAATACTTAAATCACAAAGGTTGCAAAATTGAATTATTCCTATTGGAGGGGGGATGTATCTACAAGTATTTCTTTGTTCATTCATGCTAAGGGTTGTGTTCTGTTTGAAACACATCAAACAGGGAGCCAGTAAAGTAAGCTTCTCAAAAATGCAGCATACATGCAATTAAGAGAAGGGTGTTTCCATTATGCATAAACTATCTTATTATACCACAAAACCTTTTTTTTTTTTTTTTTTAACTTTGCAAACAGATGCTATAGGAATTAGCTGACACAATGCCACAGAAGTGTTCTGTGTACTACTGAGGAAAAAAGAATTGTAATTCAAGGCCCACAGAGATGGCCAAAGCTTTGTATTCCTTGTATATATTTAAAACGAACAAAGAAAAAGCTACAATATATTTTACATAAAATATATACGAGTTTACACAAAAGGCTTTCAGTCCTCCCTTTTTCACCAAAACTTCAAATACCAGAAAAGTACCTCAGTCATTCCCAGCAAATATCAAATGTAGAGCTGTCCTTACTGATACCTGGTGACAGAACCAGAGGTAAAAAGCTTATCAGTTTGCTCAGGGTATTCTCCAGTACAGTTTTGGAATGAAACTCCAGAAAGCTTTATATTCATTTTAAGGTTAACTTAAAACTGCATAAAGAAAAAACCTGTCATATATGATTGAGAGTGGAAGCACTGGAGTAATACCTGTAGTAGAAGGGTCTAAAACAAGGTGCAAAGATGGCTGATTTGTTTGACCTGCTGACTCATCCCCAGCTGCCTGGCCACTTGCATTACTGGAACCTTCTCGGAGAGCAGTGAAACTGTTCTGGTCTTTCTCAGAATCCCTCAGTATTTCTTCCATTGCCTTCTCCAGCTGATCATCTCCATTGGAAAATACCTGTAAGCAGAAGCAGATGTCATTTTTCAAAGGTACTAGTAGTTTTACTTTCACTATTATTTTTCAAACAGATAGTCTTACTCATTGCAAAAGTCAAGAAACTTTGCTGAACAAGACAACACCCTAAGAATCAACAAAATTGAATCAAACACAATCCAGTGTCCCATCCCATTACATACAACGCACATATTCTTTCTGCTAGTCCAACAACCATCCATCTAAAAACTACAGTCCTCTCTTAACATAACAGGTTTGCGTGTTTAGGTCCTCCATTCAGAACAAAGATCAGCAGACTTTGTTATAGATTACTATTAAAGAAAATTTTACTTTCTTAGTACTATCCAACCCATTTCAGTTGTTTCACTAACTGTCCCACACATAGGAGGGGTGCAAGTCTAAGGAAACGGTGAGACACGTTCCTTAGGAAAACAAACAAACTAACCAGCCTTTCATGAGTACTAGCTTTTCAGACAAAAAAAAAAAACCCATGACCAATAATAAAATTGCATCATGGATTCTACCTCCAGTCCACCTGCCTCTTTCCAGACATAATTACTAAAGCAGCAGCTAGTGTTTAATACAGACAGAAATCATCGGTTTTAAATAACTGCCAAACAGTTATGCAAAGGCAGACTAAGTACTTATTGTCCTTTCGAGGGGAACAAACTCCTGCTGTTCCAAGCGGACCAAAACCAGTAAGTCAGCTACTGCAACTCAACTGGGGAAATTTGTAATTAACAAATCAGCTGTCACCCAAACGCTAAAATATTCTGCTATTTAGAGGTAGAAAGCTTTTAGAAAAGGTCTTAGTCTTAGGAAAACTAAATTAAAACCTAAAAACCAAGACCCTCTACAGTCTATTCCTATGCAGCCTAATTATATGCTTTTAAGATAACAACATTCAGAGTCTCTGATCCCTAAACAAAGAATATTTCCCAAGCTTTAATCTGAAGCTCATTCTTTGAAAAGAACTTTTTAGTCCTTTACTAATGTTTAATTCCACAGAATACTAAGCTGACTCTTGAAGGAGTTATTAAAAGAAAAACTGAACTGCCACTTTTTGACAGATTTGCTTAATCTGAGCTGTTACTTTCACTGGTAATAAACAAGGACACAAATTACAGTCTAAGAGTCTCCTCAAGCACACATAAGTATCTTTAACTATTCAAAAGAAGTTGCAATCTTTTTATCAACACAAATCTTACTACACATTTAAAATAAAGTAATAGTACACCTTTAGCTGAGGTTTTTCATCTTTTCCAGAGGTGTCCTCAGATTGCTGATGAACCAGGACAAATTCTTCATTAATTAATGTGGATACAGTTTCAGGCATCCTACTGGCTTTGTTAAATGATGTTTTGACTTCCATCTCAGCTCAGTATTCTTCTCCTGCCACAAGAACCTAACAAAGAAGGAAAAATATTAAATAACCAGTTTTGAAGCTATAATCAATATCTTAATAGGTGTAATACAAAGTTATGGTGGAACAATATAATACTTAAAGTTATATGAGTATATTATACTATATTCCTCAAACTCTGATTTCATTGGTGTAAGGATTTTTAGGGTGTGTGTTTAACAGCTGTGATTTAACAGCAGTGGCTGTTATCTGTGTGTATAGATAACACATCAGGAAGCTCACCTTGGAGCTTCCACTTCCCCTGTTTTTAATCTTCCAGAGTCTGCTCCCTCGACCTCCCTAATTCCTGCCCTCATTCTCCCTCATACAGGTGTATTTCTTACCCAGAGCGTCAGACAGCATGTGTGAAGATACAGATTACCTGAAGACTAATTTTCCAAAACCTGCATATCAAAGTGTATGCTCTCCACATGAAAGCATATTTAGCAATAGATTATGTTAGAGTTGTTTCTATTATTCTTTATAGCTATATGTGATGAAGTAAAAGGTGATACTAAACCACAATCACATCCTTCCCAGTAAATTTCTCTGAAACCACCTGCAGATTTAAAATAAACCATGCCATTTAAAAACACAAAACAAACTCCAAACTATAAATATTATGGAAACCGAGGTCTCCCTTGTCTGCACAGCAAAAAATAGATCGGGGGGGGGGAGGAGAGGGGGGCAAAATAGTGGTCAGCCTATACATTACAAGTTCATATAAAAATACAGAACCAAAACTATTCCTAGCACTTCAGAATGAGGACAGTACTGTAGGCATCCACCAAATAAAGACAGCATCACCCACGTTAATTCAGAATGTATTCCCTGATTCCTTAGGGAATGAAGAGTTAGAATGAAGAGCACTGTCTCTTAGACTTTTTATTCTTTTAATGTTTTTATATTTTCTGTGTTAAAAAAGAGAAGATATATTTTCAAATAGACCTTATAAAGAGCATGCACTTCCAGATATGGTTTGTTTCCATTTCAGTTTCCTGAGAAATACTACTCTGAGTGCTGGGATTTATTGTGCTTAAGACTCAGAGTTTGGAAGAGTCACATACGGCACAGGGGGAAACAAACTACTATTGTCACCTTTGCAAGGCTGGAAAGTGCCCAAAGAGGGGTAGCTCAACCAAGCACCCATTGTGACTGGCGCACAAGGACAGGTTTAGCTTCACGTTGCCTTTCACAGCAGTACCAAGGTGCAGAACTGTGCCACGCTTGCTTCTCACAGCTCCAAAACACCACGTGATCAAGAAAAGAATGCAAATTTAGGTCTAGCTATAGGGAACCACAAAAACAGGACTTAAAAAAAAGACATGCATGTTCTCCACCATTCTGAACAGGGATTACTTAACATGCTAGCCACAAGAGGCAGTTCAGCAACTTTGGACCAAAAACAAGTATAGGAACAGGACTACTTTCAGTACAAAAATATTCTGTATCACTTTTGAAACTACAGTCAACAACAGACTTGGCTTGTCATAACTATTTATACATGCAACCCTATAAAAAGGTTTTCCCTCTCCCTAACCTGGCCACAATTTTACCCATCAACCCAGTGAGGGTATTATACAGAAAAATGCCAGAAAAACTAAAGAACTCAGATTCAGTTATCTGTTGATAACTGACTTGTATAGCATAAAAACTTGTTAGCAGATTCACATTATAAAAAAGCTACTAAACAGCTATAATATTCAGAGAGTGATTACAAGTTTAGATTAGCAGTTTAGCACTTTCTGTTGTCTTTCATATCTAAGACTAAGCCTGAACTCACAAGCATAAATATTTTTCAGAGAGATGACGTAATCTGAGCTCCACTCAATCTTAGGTAATGGATTCACCGCTGGAATAAGTTCTGGTTCAGCTTTTTTAAAGTATCTTTAAAGATCTTTCTGGCAAAAGACAGAGTTTTAATACACAAGATTTTAAGTATATTACAAACAGTTTATTAATTCCATGTATTTTTTAACAAATGTTATGTTGTAAAAACGTTGCTGAAGAGCTTGTGTATCATTTGCAATAAACAGCAAGTCTAGCTTAAAATTACTATTAATTTCAAAGTAAATCCTCAATATAAAAGTGAAGGCCCACTATTATAGAATTCCTTGAAGGCAATGAAAGGACATAAAATTATGCTCCCCAACTACAGCATATCCTGAGTAATCGTTAGCTCTGCAGTTGCACCACCATTAGAGAAAACAGCAGAGGATTACCGTCAGCCACATCAGGAGCAAAGCTCTAGTCTACCAGCAGCCTCTCGCCCTCCCACCCCGTACCTACTATTGCTGGACTTAGTGAGGAGGACGCAGATGAACCCTCACCACTACTTCTAGCACATTTGCAGAAAGGAGGGATCACAAGATAAGCTATTTTGACTTTTTTTTTTTGTTTACTTATGGGAGAATAACACTGGAACTCCAATATAAGATGGTTCTACTAATTAATTATCAAAAGACAAATGCAAGCTGCTAACATTCGCTTATCACCAGTTCTTCTTTCTACAGCAAAGTAAGAACTCACTGGCACACTGAACAAGGAAAAATTTTTGTAGCAATATTTTAATAATAAAACCAGGAAAAATGTAACATTTGTAAAGCCAAAGAAAATTACAGTAATGCAACTAGAGAGGCATACTGATGTACAAAATATTTGTTCTTGCCCTATGTGGATAAAGGCAGCTTAAGATAATTTCTACTTCCTAAATTTTAATCGGAAAGACAAAGGAAATACTGTAAACATTAGAAGATTGCAAGGAGCTTCTCATTCAGATCAGATACTTAAAAGCATACCATACACGTTCTGGCAATTACATTTGAGTTGCAAGGACTTTAATGTCATTAAGAGCGTACTCCAAGCTTGCCTTTACAATCAGCTCAAACCACCACATCCAGTGCCGACACATACCTTTTTCCATACACAACTATGTTAGCTGAATAAATTGCCACCCCAGAACCCCTAATTCCAGCCTTTCATCATAGCCTACTCTGACCTGCCATCAGTGTTGTTTACTTGAATGCCTTCTATCCCATTTCAATCAAGACAAAACCACATTAGTTTCAGTTTAGTAGTAAAACACAAACAGGTCAGACACTCAGGAAGTGAATGCCTCAGCCAGAAGAAAGCAGTTCTACGCTCTTCAGCTCACACAAGAACAGTTACGAGAACAAGTCTACAAACCGCTCAGGTCTTCTGCTAAGACAACCTCTTGATGTCCATGCTAGAGAATCTGCCATATGACAAATAAATAGTAGTGCTCTATTGATCATTCATGGCAAATACTTGTACTAAAAACGAAAATCTCAGAGCGAACAGACTATTCATTTCCTACTCCATCCTAGTCACATGCTATTTAGAAAACAAAAGCTTTATACCTAGTATTTTATGATCCATATTTGATCAAAAATAGTTTTTAATACCAGAGACAAACCAAGTACCAACAATCATGATCAAGTCATTTTTTCAAATTAAACAACTCGAATAATGTTCATGTCAGAATTCAAGAATATAACTGTGAGTCTCATGAAGATTATTGAGATTTATACCATCTCAAGTAGTGTCCTGGTTCTGGCAAGGACAGAGTTAATTTCCCAAGGAGCCAGGACAGGTGAGCCAGGCTGGCCGGGGCTATTCCATACCATGTGAGGTCATGCTCACCATAAAGGGGGGCTGGGCGGGCAGGGGCGGGCTCGGCGTGGCTCTGGGATGGGCTGAGCGTCAGGTCGTGGGATCGGTGAATCGTTCTCTGTTATCACCCATTGTGAATACCTGTTATCAGCACTGCTGTTGATCGTTTTCCCTCTCCCTTGCTGTCCCAGTAAACTGCCCTTATCCCAACCCTCGGGGCTTTGCCGTTGTTTTTCCCTTCTCCTCCCCAGCCCGCCGCGGAGGGGTGAGCGAGCGGTACGTGGCACTCAGCTGCCCGGCTGGGGCTAAACCACGTCAAGTAGAAAGCTACTTACAGGGAAAAAGTTTCTATTTTTGATGTTATAAAGGCAAATGATCTAATACTTCAGCTAAGTACTTTTGAGGGAAAGCAGTGAAAAGAATAAGAACCTCTCTGAAAGAATCATGCATTAAGGTTATTTGGGGAAGGGAAGCAGTAGAACATCTGAAGTGTTTTTGGGGGTTTTCTTATTCTTTAGTAACAAGAAAAGGGACTCGTGCATTCTGGACCTCGTGTATTCCAGTCACCTCCAGTCAGTAGACAGTTATGTCATTTCCCTTTTGTCATGAGCTTTAGTCCTATTGAGGACTTGCTCCTTTTTTTACTCAGTAATCACTTGAACTCACTTGAACTCCCCTTTCTCCTACAAAAGGTAAAGAACAAATGACAGTGTCACCTATTAGACGCGTACAAAATCTAGGAACAGACTCCTACTAATAAAGTCATACATAAGTCTGTTTGATTGTCCTTTATGATGAAAAGTGGAAAGTTAAGAATGTAAGAATTTATTCTTGATTGCATTAGTCAAAACATGCAGACAGTTGTACAATCCTCAACCATGCTAAGTTTCTTCCCTGAAGTTAGCAGCAGACAATCCTGGAGCTGAATGCTGTCTCAGAATACTGATGAAAGAGGTTTAGCATTTGCTTTATCAGTTTAAAGTTACTGGGAGGGCAGCAACCAGCAGAGAGGGGCTGACAGTCAGGGACAGGAAAGGCAGCAACCATGATGCACTTCAGCTACTTCTGCACAAACTCCAGTGGCTTAGTTTAAGCTGCTTGTGCAGTTTAGTTCCAAATGAACAAATGCGGCCAAGGTGGGAATACACCTTCTGTTCTGCCAACACTGCTCCAAGGATTAAAACCTCAGACCAGATGGTAACTTCCCAGACAACCAGAGCCAAGAGTCAGAACTGCTCTTCCAACAACGCCTTCAGAAAGATGGCAACAAATTGTGCTTTGAAAGTTCTTTCCACAGTAAGAAATACAGGCAAGTATGTACTACAACCGCAAGGAAGTAAATTCTACAAAAGAGCCATCTTGAGCAGTCAT